CCCCGCCCCCGCGGTGGTTCGCTCCACCGCTGAGGAGGAGCCGCCACGGCCGGCCGAGCCCGCTCCGGCCCCGCTCTGAGGAGGCGCCAAGATGGCGGAGGGCTGAGGAGGTGGGGAGCGGGAGGTACCATGTCCAGGGCGAGGAGGGGGAGCCGCGGATGCGAAGGAGTGGGAGCGCGGCGCCGGCCGCTGGCTCGCTCCGACTCAAGCTGCGGCAGGAACGGGGAAGAACCGCTGCGCGGTTTGGGCTGAGAGAGGGAACGACGGAAAGGGTTCTACGGAAGAAGAGGGAGAAGGGAAAGAAGGCGTCCTTCCCTCCTCCTCTTCCCGGAGATGGTCTCGCCCGGTTGGCGTGACGTACCCGCCCCCGCCACGCCCCGCTCTGAACGGGCCAATAAGCAGCGAGGCGCCTGGAATTATGAATGGGCTGCTAGACACGTCACTGGCCGCCGTTTAAAGGGCGAGGAGAGAGGCCGGGGCTGGAGCCCACCCGGGTCCCGGCGGCAGCGGGGCCGGGTCCTGCGGCGAGTCAGGATAAACCCGAGAAGGGACCGCTACTGCCAGCTACGGCCCCCCGGGCCCCCCCAAAACATTCTCTCTAACAGGGAAGTTTGCCCCTGCCCCCCCAAAAAAGCCACAAAGAACATTTTAAAATGACAGTAAAGTTTCTTAATGTTAAAAAAAAAAATCTACACTGCTGTACATATACACATTACTTACATTACAAAATCCCAGAGAAATATTTGCTGTATCAGCTATGCTCTGCTCACTTTTCCTTTCCCTTCGGAGCAGCTTCCTTTGGGTGAGACACCATTCAAATCTGTGAGCAACCAAATAACGGGCTACAGAGATTTTGCAGACTCGTCTAACGCCACCCTCCAAACCCACACCTGGTGACAGTATCGAACAGGATTTTGTCCGTTACTCATGTAGCTTTATCAAATTCCATGAAACTAACTCACATATGAATTTGTTCAGCTTCGATTTTTAAGGACTAACAAAAATAGGTCTTTTGCTCCATCATATAAAGAGCTCGGACAATCTGCCCAATGTAGAAAGCAGTTACCACCTGGCATAATTTGGTAATAACAATATACAAAAATGACACCGGTCAAGGTGGAGAGAGAAGGAAGAGATCTGGCAATCCATTAAAAATAGAATACAAAGGCTCACAAGTTCTCCAGCAAAGGTTTGCTTGCAAGGTCATACTCATTACAAATGTGTTCACAATGCCAGAAGTCCAGAACACGCTGTGGGCTGCAGCACAGAAATCCAGTGCCTCTTTGGGAGATGGTAACTGTTCCTGTAGAGAGCAGCAAGTCTGTGCTGGAGGCCTCTCACCTTTGGGAATAAGCATCCATTTAACTTCTGCACAGGAGCAGAGGAAGGACAAGTTTCATCTCTGCATAAAGTTTTTTTCCAAGGCAGCGGGAGTCCTCTGAAGGGAGTGGATATTGCGTTTCACCCGATCTTCTAGGGTGGAAGTAGATGCACTCTCTAGTTTTAAGCGACTGCAGAAAATTGAACCAAAGAAAGATATTAGAATCTCTTTCCAAACATTAGACCATTTCTAGCAGGTTTCACCACCCTCAAGTCATCTACCTGAATTAATCTAACAGAGAAAACAGCAAATTATTTCCTACTAAAGTCTGCAATGAAAGAACTGAACACCTTTTAGTTTGGCTTGTAACAGATTCAATGCCTTATTTAAGGTCAGTGCTCAGAAATAAATTTTCAGTAGCTCTCAAGTCTCCTCCATCTTCCAAATATAACTAATCGTTAATTACAAATGCATCCGTCACAGGGGACTTGGTTGCTTTCTGTGAAGCAAACGAGGGAAAAGCAATGTGTTCCTGAACTGAGGGCAGCGGTCCTCTGGGAGCCCGAATGCCAGAGCTCATGCTGTAAATGACTACGATAGCTACAGGAGAGAGAAGGGATCCTTGTGGCCACTCACTTTCTTTTACTACTTCAGATCACACTGCTGTGCCTTTCTGAGTGATCTCCTCGTGCTCATCTCCCTCTTCAAACAACATGCTAATAAACACAGTTTGTTAGCTCAACCAGTTGCTTCTGCACAGGGAACACACAAAATTCTCTCTCCACAAGAGAGTTTCCTCGTGGAGAAAATCTATCGTGATTTTAAGCCACCATTATGTGATCCCAGCTCTAGGCAGCTTCAGGAATTAAGTATACATTCTCCTCTGATTAATTTATAGAGCCTGAAGAATACTATGCTGCAGCAACTCCAAAATACATAACACTGCCATGGGATCTTTCTTACATACCACTGCACTTTCTGGAAGGCCTTGCGCCACTCCAATTTCCTTTGCCTGCCATGTGCACAAGAGACAGTAAGTTACCACCTGTGTTTAGAAATGGTCTTATTTCTTGTTGAGCACAGGTTTCAGTCCCACAAGCTCTTGGCACACAGACTCCCAGTGGACTTGCAGGCCTAAAACTGTTGCAAGCTCCTAAAACCAGAGAACTTTAATATCTGCATGTAAAACGCTACTAGACATATCTACAGCTTGGCAAAAAATAACTCATTACTGATTTCTGAGTCTGACCAAGGCCATCATAGAAATAATAATCTTTTGGGTTAAGAACAGAATTTGGAAACAGTAGATCTCACTAGTTCTACTGTAAAACACAGCAGAGATGGATCTTGTACCATCGTCTGAAACATCTCAAAAAGTTGAGGCCATCACTCGCTTCTCAGAAGCGGTGGCCTGTATTTCCCTTGAATAAAAAAGCAGATAATAAAAGACACTCACTTGAAGAACTTCCCATCTCGGGAGTCAAGTTTCTCCAGTTCTCGCTCCAGCTCCTCCTCCTTTCGGTGTTTCCTGAGGTTGTTTGCTCTCTCTTCTTCCCGCCACTTGGCATTTTCCATCATTTCCTGGCGTTTACGCTCTAGTTCCTCTGGAGAGATCCTTCTATTCGTGTAGAAAACACCACTGCTGTGAATCAATAGCACGCTGGGCCCACCCCCCTCTTGCTTTCCATTCTTTAAGATGATTTACAACCCCCAAAATTAGGGGTGTTTAATGTGTTTTTTTTCTTTGGCAGCCAATCAGCAAAGCTTGTAAGTACATGTCTAAATGTTCTGCTTTACCACGCCCCTAGCAAGAGTCTGTTTTCTCCCTCTTTTCAGCCTTCTTGTTTTTAATTGACTGGTAAGATGATGCTGTCAAGGTCATATTTTCCTGATGACAGTGAAACAGAATGCTTCTAATTAACAGTCCATGGGACAAAGAGTGACTTCACATTACTGCCTTGCACAGTGATGCAAGACGCATGGAGAACCAGCAACCACGTGAATTGGTTTGGGAAGCTGTCCAAGGTGTTAGCTAACAATCAAGCTCAAGAGCATCAAACCCAGCACTTTAGGACTCTCCGTCTGACTTTCTGGATATTCGATCCAATCTATTTTAGTTAACAGAATAAAATTTGGTTCACAGATTATACCCAGCTGTTTCACAATCACCTGGGCAACTTCCATCCAAAAGCACAGGGACAAGATCTTGCTTACCTTGTGTAACCTGGAGTATGCTGCCGTCGATAGCTCTTTTTAGGGGAAGGGCTTCTAGCTCTTCCTTTCTCATCCCGACTGCTATGTCTGTAACCCAGAAATACCCTCATTTTAGTACAGATGAACATAGATCATCACACCTCTAAATTTTCCCCAGATTTTCTGTATACATTCTGAAACCAAGACATCTCACATAACTGCAGGACTGTTACCTGTCCACTTTGAAAAGAAATTCTGACGACTCCTAATTACTATAAATTTCTATCTATTTTTACTCAGTTAATTATTTAATCAGCAAACAATAAATACCCAGTACCTGATTTTATCAGTGTTTAGTAAAGATAATTCAACAATTATGAATAACTTTTAAAGAGAAACAATAGCCCAAATAAAACAATACCTAAAGGGTGTACCTAGAAAGAGGGTGTCCCAAGTGAAGAGTGCAATTGCAGACAGCATGTCCCCTCCACAAGCTAACCTGTGTGCTTTTGTACTCTTGCACAACTGCATAGCTCCTGCCTTTACATCCACAACTGAGAAATAATGTGGCCAGAACACTAAAGTGGTAGGAGACTGAATAAGAAGGATTTTGATTCTAGAGAACTCCCCCACCAGCAGCCCTAGGTTTACATTATCCAGGTTAGCCACACTCACTGTTTACTGTGTCTAGAAGGAGATCTTGACCCCCTGCATCCAAATTGTTCTGAATTCTTCTTGGTAGAGCGTCTCTGAGGAGAGCGGGACTGGCTCCTGGACCTGGAGCGATCCCGGTGCTTGTGGGGGGCCCTCTCCTGGCCGGCAGCTGGAGAGCTCCGAGACCTATGGCTCTGGTCAGAGTCTCTACCCTGGAATTCAAAAGTGTCTTTCAGGAGAGACCCCTTGTAGGAGCACAACGACAATGTAAGGCCACAGAGGAGACCTCGGACAAGGCTAAGTGCAGGAAGGAGTGTACACTGTGGTCTGTGTTCACTTATCTCACTTCCTAGGTTCTTATTAACACCTGTGTCTAAAAAGATTATTCCTGTATGATGTTCAGTAAACTAAACGGCCAAGATAGTCAAGCAGAGTATTTGAACAGATGGGTAATTCAGTTAAGAGAAACTAAATAAAGCTTAACATGAATTCAGAGCAGACAAAAGTCCTACCAGGATCTGAACAACTTTAGTTTCAATGCTTAGATGGCTCCAAATTGAGTATGAACATTATTGTATCATGTCCCCTTCATAATCCTCTTCTAGCTGGTGAAACAGTCTTGCAACAAACTGCCAAAACTGTTGCTCTTCTCTAACTCAGGGCACTTGCTACTGAGAGAGCTGTGTGAAACACACGTACTTACTTGTAAACCATATCCTGGGACTTTGGAAGGAGCAGGTTTCCAGGAGGAACTGTTCATCCTCTTCTGAGACCTAAAGAGAAAACAGAATAGTACTTTTGAACAGATGAAATTCAAGAATACAATTTTTTTAACGTTAAAATGCCATAAAAATAATTTAATGATGCAAAAACCATCAAGTAACATATAAACATTAAGGCAAATTAAGAGCATTAATTAGAAAGATAAAACTCAGACAGGATTAGAAAAAGACAGGAAAAACAAACAATAAACCAGGAAACATGGTATTTTTACTACAAAACCTCAAAACATACTTATTTTTGCTTCGCTCCTCATCACTGCTGTCACTTTCACTGCTAGAACTGCGATGTCGATGTTTCTTGTGCTTCTTCTTCTTCTCTTTCTTCTTCTTCTTCTCTTTTTTGTCTAAACTGTTTTGCAGCTATAAAGCAAGACACCATTTCATTAGTAATAATTACTGTCTTTACATTTGGCGAGTCAGTATCACAAGGCAAAGTAATAGAGTTCTCTGTGGAAAGGCTCCTGAACAAAACCTAAACCATTTAACAAGGTCCTCTCTCAAAACTAAAGAGCTTAATAAAGTCTTCCCTAGTGTCAGTTTGGTATTAGTGCATGTCAAATTCTATGTCTGCAATCACTCTGTAGTACTAAATCAACAATTAATCACTAGCTAAAAAATAAAAATTAAAAAAATGCACACAAGCACACCAGAAGAGCAAGAAGAGTAAAATAACATTGAACTTGAAAGGAAGAGAAATTAATTCCTGCTGACAGACTGATACAGAACCTTGTTTATAGAAAGCTGAATTTATTCTGTTTTTCTGTGAAAGAGTCAGGAATCAGAACTCAGCTCCTTATCCTAAACAATACTAATTTTGACCTATGATCCTCGCCTTAGTTCAGTGTACTCTCTGCTTTGAGTCTGTAAAGGACCACTGAGATACACCTACCAATTCTTTGATCTTCTTCATTTTAACGGGATTATTCAAAACTTCTCTCTTCTTTTCCTCCTCCCTCTTTCTAAAGCAGAAAAAAAAAGTATTTTCAAACAACTGAAAATATCACATTCTCATGAAGGATACCAATCAAATGCAAGCTCTAAAAGTATATAAAGCAGGAAAACAGGCAAGTTTTGTACATTCAGCGAAACAGATCCAGCTAAAGAGGAGTCTGCCTTTTTCTTCTCCACTTAAGAGTGCAACTAGTAGGGTTAACAAATATTTGTTCCATTACCATCAATCTGCCTACAATGCTAATAAATGCCTGAACTCTCAGAGCAGACCAGATATATTCACACACACATAAAAGGGTAAGCTAAGCTGGTAGAGACAAATCAATGTGGAATAACAATCTTTGCATTTATATCTATTTACCAACTTACAGCTAGATGATCTATGAGATGATCATCAGCTCGTTCAGATGACGAAATCTCAAATTTGAAATCAAGTCAGCAAAATTATCCAGAAGCAGCAAATTGGCTCAAATACATGATTTGACCTTATGTTGCCATGTCTAGACCACACAACTAAAATCCTATCAGTCACATAAGTGGCTAGCGACCTCTCTGTGGCCAGAACTGCCACCTACAGCCCAGAGCTCTCAAACACGCAGACGTAGCTTTGAGGAACAGACACAACAGCAGTCTTTACAACGTAATTAAAACAGCTTTTGGCAAGTTGCTAATATTGATGCTTTGCCTCATCTACTGCTTTCAGCTCCACATTTAGTACCTTATCATGAAAAGCGGATCCTCACGGATTTTGTTTGCCATATCTAGGACAGAATTAGCACCCGTCTTGGCAAAAATGGAGCCTGGGAGAAGTCCTGTCTCATTGGAACAGCCTGCATCCTTGTCTTCTGTCTTCTCAAAGACATATTTGTCCACTGGGCGACCCATAAGATATTCTTCTCTGTTCACCATGCCTCCGGGACCCTGGTACATCCACTCCAACTTCTCTTCTCTTTTCCTATTGCAAACAAGAACATCTTGTTTTCCTTCTGATGGTTCTAAAGTTACATTTTAAGGCACTGGCTTATGAAGGTAAGTGGAAACTTTTTATCATCAGAGACATTAAACCGATGGCTCTCTCAGGGGCACCCTGCACCACCTCATCAGACAGTGCTTGCCCCCAGAGAATGGCCAGCGCTAGTTACCACCAGTCTGGGGGGCACCAGCACCAACTCACCTGACAGTGCCCATGTCTTCTGCGTATCGCTGCATCTCCTCACGTGCTCGCTCCTCCTGCAACTCCCGCTGCAGCTCCTCGATCTTCTTCCGCTCGGCTTCATGCTTCTGCTCGGCTTTCCACACCTTCTCCACATTGCGCAGGGTCTGCGGGTGCCAGCTCTTCTTCAGGTTCTGCAGGAGAAGGCGGGAGGGGGACACACCGGACCGGGACCGTTAAACAACCGGCCACCTTCCCTCGCCGGTGGGTGGCCACGGGGAAGGGCCCGCTCAGAGCCGGGCTGCCCGCAGACTTCCGACCCCCGGGTCCAGCCCCCAAGAACGGGACACGCTCGTTCCCACCCCCACCGAGACCCGCTGCCACCGAGACCCGCTGCCA